TTCTTTCTTTCTTTCTTTCTTTCTTTCTTTCTTTCTTTCTTTCTTTCCTTCCTTCCTCCCTTCCTCCCTTCCTCCCTTCCTCCCTTCTTCCTTCCTTTCTTCCTTTTTCTTTTCTTAAATAATTTTAGCCAAAGCTGCCCTGGAACTAGCTCTGTAGACCAGGCTGGCCTCAAATACACTGCCTGACTCTGCCTCCTGAGTGACAAGATTAAAGGTGTGCGCCATCACTGTTGGTCAATGTTCCTATTTGTAATGAAGTTTCTGTTTAGCCAGCTAGAGTGGCGAATGCCTTTAGTTCTAGCACTTGGGAGGCAGAGGCAGGCTGAGTTCAAGGCCAGCCTGGTCTACAAAGCGAGTTCCAGGATAGCCAGGGCTACACAGAGAAACCTTGTCTCGAAAAACCAAAGGTGGGGGCAAGGAGCATAAGTTCCTGTTTGTCATGTGTTAAGTCCTTGAAAGTTAAAATTTCTATTTGTAGAATAAATTCCTGTTTCTTATGTAAACTGTCTGCAACCCCCTTCACTCCCATTGCAACTCTATTCACGGGTGAACCCCATTACCCTTGTTCCCTCCTCCTTTTCTTTATTGCTCTCTAACAATGAGTAACATTGTGGCGCACACCTTTAATCCCAGCACTCAGGAGGCAGAGGCAGGTGCACCTCTGCACTAAAACAACACAGAGAAACCCTGTCTCGGAAAACAACAACAACAACAAAAAAAAACAAAAAAAAATGTGTAACAGTTAATTCCCTCACCCTGGTGAGCACCTTATCTTTCTCATAAAAGGGCTGCTCTCTCAAATCTCAGTTTAGGGTGAGACAGCAGGCTGGCCAGTCCCTGGGGCACCCCAAAGTACAGACAGCTTTAATTGGATAATCTTGGATTTGGTCTTGTCTCCTAGAAGATTCTCAGGTTTAACAACATCTTTAAGTTGTTGGACATGGGCTGGGGATGAATCCCAGGTGTAGTGCGTGCCTGACATACTTGTGCAGCAAATAACCTGACTGGGCGCAGTAAAACACCGGTCCCAGCAACCAGGCAGGGCGAGGGAGAAGGCTATCCCTTAACGTTGGAGTGTATTTGAGACCAGCCATCTCTAAATGAATAAATAAGAGTAAAAATGATCTCTGCTAGTGCAAAGAAGTGTGAATTTACTTTCCAGAGAATAACCTATCAAAAGTATAAACTTTTTTCTTCATTGCGATAGGAGTTACGTAACAGAATTTACCATTTTAATTATTTTTTTCCTTTTTGAGACACAACCTTTGTAGCCCAGGTTAGTCATGAATTTGAGATCCCCTCAAATCTACCTCCCCAAATGTTTTAAGTACAGGTGTGTGGAGGAGCCCCCTTCCAGAATGGGAGTTCCCTCCCAGGCCCTGGTTAGGCACAAACCACACCCAAAATACTATTTTCACCGAGGGATCCTTTACCAATAGTGGAAGAAAGGTTAAAGTGGCTACTTTCTGACTCAGGCAGAAAAACAGCAGCAAATTGACTTTACAGGTGTGATTTCTTAAGAAGAGAAAAAGGGGAGGTGTGGTTAGAATGGGCTAGGATGTGGTGATGTATTTCGTTTGGGCATGTTAATTAGGAAACCCTCGATCGCTAGATTTTAATACTTTGTGGCTGGAACTTGGTAGTCAGCCACAGGAGGAGGACGTGGACAAATGAGGGAATAGACGGTGGTGGATAACTATAGGAATATAATCTAATGATTAGCAAATAAAAGGGAATGGGCCAGGCGGTGGTGGCGCACACCTTTAATCCCAGCACTCAGGAGGCAGATGCAGGCGGATCTCTGTGAGTTTTAGGCCAGCCTGAACTACAAAGTGAGTTCTGGGGGGGGGGGGCAAAAATAAATAAATAAATATGTGGTATTGTGTTCCCCAAAATATTGTGTACCTTAATAAACTTACCTGGGGTCAGAGAACAGACAAGCCACTAGTTAGGCAGTGGTAGCACATGCCTTTAATCCTAGCATTCCAGAGACAGAAATCCCTCTGGATCTCTGTGAGTTCAAGGCCACATTGGAAATAGCCAAGCATGGTGACACACGCCTTTAATCCCAGAAAGCCAGCCTTTAATCCCAGGGAGTGGTGGTAGAAAGCAAAAAGATATATAAGGCATGAGGACAAGAAACTAGAGGCATTTGGCTGGTTAAGCATTTGACTGGTTAAGCATTCAGGCTTTTGAGCAGTAATTCAGCTGAGAC